GATGGGTCATCAGCTTTCCTTTGTTATAGTGCTAAGAGAAGCAAGAAATTAGAGTCACTTATATGGAAATTTGAAAACTCCTTTTATATATACAACTTTCCTTTGTGTATATAAAGTTAACAAAAATGCACTGACGTCTGGCAGGTTGTTTGGGAAATGCCTCCTGCAATTAGAGAGAAAAGTGACTTACCAGAATGTGAACATTCTATTACTGATAGCTGCACACAGACACTGGAGGTTTAAATTAAGACAAGTCTGTGGTGTTTTTGGGGTTTGGGGTTTTTTTGCCTACAAGCACCATGGCTACGTGTAGCCATTACACTGAGACATAATAAATCATCAAAAATTGGATGCTGTAAGTGCTTGGTACATTATGAGAACCATCATTCTAGTGCAGATGTGAAGAAATGGTATGTTCTTGATATGATGAGAAATTTCATTGTTATGTGGGTTAAAAACCTCAGAAGTAATCCACCACCGCTTTGCCAAAGCTGATGTTGGAACTACTGTTGGCTCAGATGAACAGAGCAGGGTATGTGATGACTATGACTGGAATGAGCCGCAAAGAGAAACAAACTGTCCCATACTCAAATGTCAATGATGTTGTAGATATTGACATGTTACCTCCCTCTGCTGATGGGGAATTTCAAAGGAGAACAGACATTCTTGAGGTAGGTCTGTTTGGAGCATTGAATAACAGGAAGAAAATGAGCCCACATCCAAATATCTAGGAGAAAGGAGCATAAACAGCACTGGTGAGCAGTGAAAAACTGCAATAATGTGAATGATTTTGGTGCCAAAGCAACAGTGATTACATTTGTTTGTGAACCATAAAATAACACATCAATATCCAATCCTGGTAAGCCAAATGTAAAACCAGGGTATCCCAGATATGACTAGTGGTCTGTGATATATATATATATATATATATATATATATATATATATATATATATATATATATATATATTTTTTTTTTAGTCCACCATATATATACCGGGGATGCCAAAAAATGTATACACATTTTAAGAAAGCAAAACCCTATTAAAATTGTAATACTCAGCATATACCAATAAAAAAAGATGAATACAAGTCTCGTTTGATGTCTGCAAATACAAGAGGCACTCAAAGTGGTTCCCATCAGCATCCAGACACTTCTGATGATGGCGAACTACTGCTTGAGCAATGCTGACAAAAATGTCTGCTTGTATACATTTTTTGGCACCCCCGGTGTGTGTGTGTGTGTGTGTGTGTGTGTGTGTGTGTGTGTGTGTGATATTTTAGTCCAACAGATATATCTGGACCATCTAGTACATGTGAGCTGATTTGTAATCCAGGCTCCATCTCTTCTTAGCTTTGTAATCTTTGTCAAGACCGGAAAAATTCTCATGTGTACAACAAGGGGACTAGATTATCTAAACCATCAGTTCTATAATTCCAGACTTGCTAGCTGCAGGAACTGAAATGGAAATTGGAACCTTTACTACATAAACTCAAACTATCTAAAATATGAATTATTAAAAAAAAGAGAGAGATTCTATTCTTCAGTAACTTGATGAAATGGCACCAGAACTTCTGAATTTGAAAATTATAAAATTATAAAACCACCTGTTTAAATAGTTCTGCATGTACTTTAGTACACATTCAGAAGCATTCTTTTCTAGGAAACTACCCAACATATTTTGAAAACTGTACATATTAATTTATTGCTAAAATATACAATGTATTGGCATGATAAATGAAGCCAGATAAATTTTTTAAAACTCATACATAAGATCATATCGCTCCTCTGCTTGAACCTTTCTGATTATTTCCCATTACACTTAGAATAAAATCTAAACACCTTCTAGCTTACAGAGCCTTGCAAGACCCTCTGGACAGAAGAAGATAAGAAGGACCGGAACTCCAAGCAGAGAAAGCTGGTGCAAAGATCATAAGATGGGGAGGAGCTTGACATATCTGAGGAACAGAAAGAAGGCCAGTGTGACCTCCTCTCCTACCACTCTACCCTTATTTCTGCTACCATCAGTCGCTCTGGCTTTATTTCTGTTCCCTCTCATCTTCTTGTGGCTGACTCCTCCTTGACATTCAGGTTTCAGCTTAAATGCTACCGCCTCAGCGAGACCTTCTCTGATTTCCCAATATAAAGGCTTAGGCTAGAGACACAAATTTTGGAGCACAGATGATATTACTTTAGGAGAGAATATGGAAGGATTTAGGCTCCAAACTTATTTCTCTTTCTAAGATACTATGCTGCCTCTCAAAGAATAGGTATTGAATAAAAGTAAATTAATATGAGAGGCAAACCTTTGCAGAGGGTGGATAAAGTTAAAAAAAAGAAGCATATACTTTGCTGAAAAATGAAGAGGTGCTATTTGAGACAGGTCTTGAAGAATAAATAAAATTTAGACAACAGGCAGCATGTGCAAAGGCACTGAGGTGTGAAAGAGCATCTTATTGAAATGTTAACTCCATGTATGCAAGGACATTGTCTGTCTTGTTTACTATTATATCTCCAATATCCAGAGCCGGCTAGCTCACAATAGGCACTTGGTACACACTTCTTGAAGGAATGAATACATGGAGGGATGGATGGATGGATGGATGGATGGATGGATGGATGGATGGATGAGTGAATGCCACCATAGAGGAGCAGGCTTGAACACAGAGTGCTTTGGTGAGAGAAGCAGAATATGAAACAGGAGAGGTAGAGAGAGGTCAGTTCACGGAGAGCCTTGAATCTTAGAATGTATCCTCTCCATAATGGAGAGCCAATGAGGATTTTAAGTAGGATTTTGAGGTGATCAGGTTTTGTTTTAGAGAAAATCTCAAGTGACAAAGAGGCAATGGTTACAGAGGTACAACAGGTACAGAGGCATTTATTCTGATTGCTAGTGCCCAGATCATTTTGTTCACGATTCCCTGAATGTACTTGTTTCTCCATAGCCCACCTAGAGCTGATAACAATAACTAAAGGATAGTATATCCTGCACACATTAGAGTAGAGCCATTTGTATAATGCCTCATAACCAGTACTATATTTTTGTCATACTTGAAAAAATACTGAAGAATAGAGTGGGGAGAAGTTGCACAAAATATCTCACCATTTCTTGTTTTTTTCCTTTTATTTCTTTCTAAATATAAACTAAATAAAAGTAAACACTAGCTATCACATAAGACCTAATGAAGGAGAACTAATGACAAACAGAATGCTTGTTCAATAGATACTGACTATCCTTGAGTGCTTACTCTCTGTCTGGTACTATTGTGCATTAATCGTTGCAACAATCCTTGCATACAGGTAGTACTATCATCTTCATTTTAGAGATGAGAAAACTGAAGCTTGACAAATGAGATAGTTAGGAGATAGAATTAAAATTGCTTGGTGATCATTTGGATGTGAGCATCGAGATAGTGAAAGCATTCAAAATGATACCCAGCTTTCTAGTGTAGGCAACTGACTGTGTGGTTTTGTGCCAGTCACCAAAATGGTATTACAGAGGAGGAGCAGATTATGGGAGAGGAGAGAGTAGAAATGTATTAGGCCAAATGAGTGCTACATTAAGTTTTAGGTGCCTGAAAGAGATGCCCAGCTGTCATTAGATATTTCAGTCTGGGTTACAGGAGTCCTGTCTGGGCTTCCCATCTGAGGGAATAATCAGCATATTGCTGCAACCAAAGCAATGGTAATGGTTACGATCACCCAAGAAAAGTGTGAAGAGTAAGAAGAGAGTCTAGGGCAGTCCTATGGGACATGAATATTTCAAAGGAAAATGAGGATCTGTCACAGAAGTGGGAGGGGAACCAGGAGAGTATGACATCTTAGAAAGAGCCAAGAGACTAGAGGGTGCTATGAAGTGAATGTTTGTGCTCCCCGCCTGAATGTATATGTTTGAGCCCTGATCCTCAAGTGGTGGTGTTAGGAGGCGGGGCCTTTGGGAGGTGATTATGTCATGAGGGTGGGGCCTTCAGGAATGGGATGAGTGCCCTTACAGAAGACGTGAAGGCGATGATGTCGCTCCATCTTGTGAGAATTCAGCAAGAATGCAGCAGTCTGTGGGCCAGGAACCGGGTCCTCACCACAACCTGACCGTACTGGCACGCTGCTCTGAAATTTCCCAGCCTCCAGAACTGTGAAAAATAAATTCTTGTTGTTTAAGCCATCTAGACTATGACATTTTGTTAAAACAGCCCATACTAAGACAGAAGGTTTCAAGGAGGAGGGGAATGAACAATCAATGTAAAGTTGGCAGAGTCGAAGTTGAAAAGTGCCTATTTATTTTAGCACCGCTGTTGAGAATTTTGACTGGAAAGGAGAGGTGGGAGGAAGCCCACAAGGTTACGTCTGTGTGGTGAGTGCTTTGGGGGGTGAGGTTGAGAAAGGTGACTCTGGAATATTTTAGATGAGAGAAACTTTGACAATCTTTAAATGCTGATAATAAAGAGCAAATAAAGACGAATCAGGAGACAGACGTGTTCATCAGGGGAGCCAGTCTCAGAGTTGGCAAGAGGGAATAGTGATGCAAAGCAGATGGAGGAGCTTAGATCAAAGTAGTAGTAATAGTTGTTGTTGCTGCAAAAAGAAAATGGGAGAAAGGATTGCTGAGGTGTCCAAGGAGGTTAGAAAATCTCCTGACGGAAGTACAGGGAGTTCCTGTCAGATGAATTATATCGCATTTTGTCTGTGAAGTAGCAGGCGACACAACCTGCTGAGACTAAGCGGGGAGATGGCGGGAGAAGATCGGCCCTTTCTTTATCCCGCCGACTCAATAGTGGCCAACTCTTTGTGGCCCTGCATCCTCTTGTTTTCCCGGAGGAACAGCGCTTGACGTTGTTTACGAGAGTTGACTGAACGTGTGACATACTCCGCGTATGACAGTCGAAACTACCACTCCCGGAATGCAGTGCGGCTCCTAGGAAGTATGGTGCCTTGGAGCGCTCAAGCCTAGCCCCTCCGCCCGCAGCCATTGGAGGAGTGCTCACATTCCCAGGAGGCCGCGCGCGGGTGGGGCCCTATACCCGGAAGCTGGCGGCGTCCGGTCCCTGCCGTCTTTGGGAGCGGGCAGTCGGCGACGCCGTGCTGACCCGCGCCCCTCAGTCCCGAGCCCGCGCGCTCTGAGAGGGTGCCCGGACAGGTAAATGCAGCGGGGCGCGCTTGGCGGAAGGCAGGGAAATGACGGCGGTGGGCGAGCAGACAGAGGTGTCGACCGGAAAGTGCTGGGGTGGGAGGAGGAGGCGGCAGTGCAAGGGTGACGTCCTTCTCTGGTGTCGACAGTTCGAAATGTCAGGCAGGTCCAGTTTTGGCCAAGTGCGTTTTATGCCACTGAAATGGCCTCGAGTTAAAGAGTGTCGGAATGCGTCACTGAAGTTTTTACAGGAGGGAAAAAAATGTTAACTTCCCCTCAGCTCGCATCCCGCAAGATCTCTCTCTAGCATTTGAATCTCTTGACATCTCTCGAGTCTTCTGAAAACTCCTCGCTACGCCCTTGTTTCGATGACGTCACTTTCTGCGTCACCTCCTCCTCTTGAGCGCCCACGTGGGTTTCTGGTCCTTTGCGTGCCCTTCCTCCACCATCCAGTGTTGACATTCTTCTTCCTCAGTTGGGATAGGAACTCTCATCCCCGCCCAGATCTATTTTCTCAGCGTTAGACCTGTATGACGTCATTATTATTATTGGCCAACTCTGATCATGTAATAGATTCTTTGGTACATGCTTTACATCTCCCTCTCCCATAATCCCCACAAACAATCAGTTATCAAATCCTTTTCTGTCTTATTCATTGCTCTCAACTATCTGTACCTCCACTGTCCCACCCTCGATCTCAGAGGATACTGTCATGTCATGTTTGGGACATTCTCTCCCTTTGAATGGCTGTGGTTGAGAGCATACCCACTTATATGTTTAACAGATATTTACTGAATAGGTAATAGGTGCTAGACATTCTTCTAAGCGCAAGAGATATAGCTGGAAACAAGACATAGGAGATCACTACTCTCAGCAGCTTACATGTTGGTGTGTGGGAGCAAACAGGAATAGTCCAAGATCATGTAATATGGTGGTGGTGGTTAATGTAAAATAACACAGGTGGTTGACTTGACAGAGGAGGTTCCTATCCTGAGAAAGAGGGATTGGGTTGGGGCTCAGAGCATCACCCAAAAAGAGTACTTCCAGTACCAACAAGAATAGTCTTATCTGTGACCAGACTTAAGGTTTTCGATAAATACCCCTTCTTTTCCTCGGTCATATCAATGTTTGTTCTTCATTCTTCTGTCTCCTCCAAGGTTATTACATCAGAATTGGTGGTTTTTCTGTCGTTGGCTTATTTCCTCCTAAGACCCAGGCAGAAGAGTTGGGGGTTGGATTATTCACAGCTTAACTGCTTTATCTTACTTATGGAGATAATAAAAATATTTGGTAGTCAAAATATTCTTCTTGCCAGGTCCTACTGAATATAAAGTTGTCTATCATTTATAGTATATTTAAAACCCAATCATGCTCAGTGTTCATTCATTTATTCAAGAAATATTTGAAGGAATTGTATTGGGTTGTTGGAAAAGTCATGATGCTTTTTTTTCCATGTTAACACATCTAAATTTGGTCATCATTTATTTTAACTGCTGTACATTATGAATATGTTAGAATTTATCCATTTCTTTCCTGACAGGTATCATGACAAATTTTTGCAGTGAAAAACATAGAAAAAAATACGTCATGACTTATCTGACAACCCAATATATGCCAGGCACTGTGCTGGGCACTGGGAACCTAGTAAGGATAAAATAGACACTTTGACCTCTCTTCCAAGGAAAAATAGTTGTAACAGTAGACTGACAAAATTCCTAATACGTAGGCTCTCACCTGCATTCTTTTTTTCTTCATTCAAGGTGAGGTAATCACAAAACTTGAAGAAATCTCCTGAACAATTGTGTACATTGTTAGATTATTCACTCGCTACATTTTATTGCATTTATTTGTTTGTGTCTGTCTTCCCCATTGTACTGTGACTCCCTTGTGTGTAGAGGTCTCTTTTCACTGGTCTTCATGCCTCCAGTGTCTACTACAATGACTGCCATATAGTGACCCTCAGAATGTATGTGTTGAACTGAAATAGAAAAAACTATTTGATCCAATCCAAATCACGTAATTTATACAAGGCCTTCTTTATATAAAGCCATTAGACTTATCCCTAAACCTTCTCGCTCACCAAATGTGGACCATTCCATTTCATGAGGCTAGTTTATGTACCTTCCCTAGCTTGTTCTCATGTTTGTGTCTTCTCTTGTTCTATAGCTCCCTCCTAAAATGAGTTCCCATCTCTTTCCTGAGCACCTTGTGTGCCAGCCCCCCGTTTAATTCAGTGGGCCACTTTAATAGTATGTCCCATGATACAAGGGTGGGAAAAATTTAGTATTCATTGTGTTCCTGTGAAACATTCGGCTAATGAACTCTTGCAAGGATCCGCATAATACATCCCCTTGCGGTAATATAAATGATGATACAGGATGCTTGCTTTTTATTTTGCATTGACTATTACCATGTGCTGTGCATTGAGTTGATTCTTCCCCTTTTTTCTGTTTGAACAGTTGCACAACCTTTATTCATACAGCACGTTGTGGTATCATTTGGTTTCCACTTGGTACAATCACATCTTTGAGGATCATTTTCTCCTCAGCCTGAGATAATGTATGGTTCATGTTATTCTGCCATACTGTCATTTTCAGAATAGCAGATAAAAGTCTCAGTTCTTAAAATAAAAGTTTTGTTCCTTGCAGATACCTTTCGACTGTAAATTGTTACTGCGAAAGATAAAATTTATCTTTATAACTGATGATTTAAAAACACAACAGGAATACAAGAGTGCTTGAGTCATGACTGTCATTATGATTTTAGGATGTGCCAACCTCAGAGCAGCCAGACATGCTTCTAAGGCATTAAAAATTAAGCATTGTCATTTTAGGGAATTTCTTGCAGCCTGTGCCTTCCTAATGCAAATGAATACTGAATTGTGTGCCATCGCTCATTTATAAGGTATATATATATGTAGATGATCCAAATATTCACATACATTTTTTAATTTTCCAAAAATAAAACTATAGAATTTAAAAATTTCTCAGAACACATAGACTCGAGGGTGAGGAACACTGACTTGGCCTTTTTCCCCAGTCAGTTCCCTGAAACTCTCCAACCTCCGCTGGAAGATGCGTCCACCCAGGGGGAATTTGCATCATTGCTGTGCTGTTTGACTAGCAATTTTTTAAAAAACGGGCAGTCCCTTACTCACAAATGGATATATTCCAAAGGCTCCTTTGCAAAATTATTGCAGGATGCACTTTCCTCTGTAAACAATGCTATTTATGACATTTCATTTGTTATACCAACCAGTAGCATCTTACTTAACCTTTAATTTAATGGACTGAAAGAGCTTCACCACAACTTATAATAATTCCTCTATAAGAAAAAAAGCCACCAAATCTTATGGTTATACCTCAAAGGTACATTGTATCACAGCTTGACTGCCACTCTGATTATTTGTAATTTACTGCAACAATACTGATAACCAAGAAACATAATATCGGCCCATGGTGCCTAATGTGTAATAAAGTATATCGAAGCTACTGATATTAAATTGAGAAAAATTGCTAGTGAATTTTTGAAAAGAGAATAAAATGCCTGTTACATTTGAAAAAAGAAAAAGAAAAAAAGCCACCCTGATACATTGTAATTAAAAAAAATAAAAATAAAAACAACTTCCATCATACTTACAAAGAAAGAAACAAACTAACTAACTATATCGAGCATTCTCATTTGAGTTCCCTCACAGCATATCTTCTCCTGGAATCCCAGCAACTGGAACAAAAATGTTCTTTCCTTGGAACCTTCTAGGCAATAGAAACAGACGTTTCTAACTCCAAGCTGTTGGAGGTTGCCTTTCTGGCCCAATGAGTAAGGAAAGAGATGGGATGGAGGTTTTGGAGAGGAGAGGGAGGCAGGTTGGGGTGATGCGGGTATGTGGAGAGGAAGAGTAGGAGTGATTTGGGAGGAACAGTTAGTTTCTAAGATGGGAGTTTATTGTGTCCTCAAAATGAAATGTTGTATCCTGACTCCTGGTACCTGTAAATGCAACCATATTTGGAAATAGGGTCTCTGCAGATGTAGTCATTAAGATGTAAGTTAAAATGAGGTCACACTGGAATAGGTGTCCTTGTAAGAAGAGAAGAGACACAGAGAGTGCCATGTGAAGACCTGGACACACATGGAGAACACCACATGTCTATGGGGAAAGAGACTGAAGTGCTTCAGCTGGGGGCCAAGGAACGCCATGGGTGGCCAGCAGACCAGCAGAAGCTAGGAAGAGACGGAAGGATTCTCTCCAACAGATTTCAGAGGCCGCGCAGCCCTGCCAACATCTGGATTTCAGGCTCCTGGCCTCCAGAACTATGAGACAGTACATTTCTGTTGTTTTAAGCCGTGCAGCTTTTGGCACTTTTTTATGGCAGCGACAGAAATCTCATACAGGATTCTTAGGAGGGGTCAAGTAGAATGGGGACGATGGCTCTTGGACACAAGGAGTCATAAGAGAACAGGGAAGGACAGTGTCGAGACAGGGCTTTCCTTTATATTCCATTACCTTTTTCTCCCGCCTTTTCTCTCTCTGGCTTATCTTTACATTCTTTTTCTTCTTAAATATTATATTTATACAGCACTCTATGGTTTACTAGACAGTCACATCCTGCTAATAATTAGCAAAGGCAGGTTTTCTAACTTCAAATGCAATATTATTTCTACCACAGTTGTTTCTGTTATCCCGATACTCAAGACATTACAGGTTCTATTGCAAGAGAGTTACAGTGGGGGCTGGTGAGACGTACTAGGCGGGGCTTTTAGCACTATAGGAGAGAGGAAGAAATTTCTATTAGCCACATCTGAAAGGAAAGGAAAGTTTCTGTTGCTGTGGGCCCGATGTTTAAGTCAGACATTTAAAACTTGAGGACTGCTTTTATTGAACACGACACTGCTTCCCTGTAACTTCTATCCATTGTTACTAGTTATATTCTGAATAATGCACTCCCTGTTCCAGGTGACTGTACTTTATATAAACTTGAAGACTGCTGTCACATTCCCCCTAAGCCTTCTCTTGTTCATGTTAAATATTTCTACTTCCCCTGGCCATTCTTCAAATGACACACTCTCCAGGTCTCTCACCCATACTGTTGCCCTTCCGTGCAGTCTTGAAATGCTATACCAGCAAATGAACTCCGTATTCCACTTGTGTTCTAACCCCACAGAGTATAATGGCAATAGTACTTAAAGAGATCAAGATACGCTGTTTCTTAATGTAATTTAAGATTACATAAGCATTTTAAGCGATTACCTCATGTCAGTTCATAATGAACTTATGGTCCACTAAGACACTAGATATTTTTGTATTGTTGCCAAACTCAGTTTTCTTCTTGAAGCTGCTGAGGGACTGAGGCTGCTACTTTTTCATGTCTCTGTGTCAGGAACCGTATGAGTTTGCGTTTCTGTTTCTCTGTGTTTTTGTTCCACTCCACCACATGTCTCTTTGACCCTAAGCAGTGACTTACTTCTTTATAAAATTTCAGTGACTGTTTTACAGTCATCTTCCTGTGCATCAGTGAACACAGCTAGGAGCTGACACTTGTTCCTTCTCGAAGCTTTCTCTCCCTTTGGCTTCCAGGCCACCACACTCTTCTGGCTTTCCTCTCCTGTTCCCAGTTTGCAGGCACCTGTTCCTCCACCTTTCCCTCAACTGTTGCACCTTGGGTTTTGTCTTTGGTTTTCCTGCAATTCTGGTGTGCTTTGCTCTTGTTTTGTTTTTGCTTTTGTTTTGCATGCAGTGTGTCTTCAGCAAATAAATCAGTTGGAAATGGCAAGTCTAGATGAGCTCATCTAGAGATAAGAGTGCAGAACCAGTCCCTGTGGAAATTCAACATTGAGAGGTAAACTGGAGGAGGCGGACTCAGCAAGAAGACAGAAGGAGCAGCCAGATATGTAGGAGTGTTTCAAGAAGGAGGGTTAGTCAGCGATGCTAACTGTTCTGGGAGGTCGAGTAGAGTGAGAATGGAGAAGTTACCACTGAATTTTGTGACATAGAGGCCGATGGTGATCTTGGCAAGCATGGTTTCATGGAGTGTTGAGGACAAAAGCTAGATTATAGTAAGTTGAGGCATTAAAAGGAGGTAGAGAAGCAGTGAGTGTGTAGATTATGATTTGAAGAAATGGAGCCATACCTGGAGCACGTTATAGGGTCAGTTGAGGCTTTTAGAATCGAGAGACATAATGTATGAAAAGTGATTTGGAAATTACAACTTGCTACATATGTGTAAGGAGAAATCCAGAAAGAAGATGGCTGAGGACATGACTCTGGGGAACACCCTCATTTAGAGAGTGGAACGAAGAAGAGACTCCGAGAGGAGCTCAGTTCATGAGAGAGATGGGCACTTCCGCTGTGTGCTGTCCTTCCGTGCTGGGATTCCAGGAAGGGATCGGTGGGTTCCCTAACCTCAAGCATTGTGTCATCTGTTGCTGAGTTTCACAAAATATGGCTCTGCAGGTCCCCTGCAGCCAGCAGCTTGTCTTAAAGTTATAGCTCGGGGCCCCACCTCAGGTCTACTGAGTCAGAATTTCAGGGCATGATGCCAACAATATGAATTTTTAACAAGTGACTCTCGCTCTGCCACCTAAGATACCTCATTCACACTACAGTTAGAGAACCACTGGCTTATTGGATGAAACTGAACATGTTAACAAATAACATTAGGTTGAAGAGTTAGTTGAAGAATAGGAAGGCATTTTCTCATCTCTTTTTATGTTTATACCATTAGATAAGACAAACTGGGCTATTCAGTGGGGAAAAAAATAGTACTGATTCATAAATATGAGAAAAATAACCTTAACCTCGTGCTGCATTGTTTTAGAAATGTTTTGCTTATGAAGGCTCTTACCATAATCTGTAGAAGCATTTCTCTCTCGTGGAAGGTTTGGGTCATTTTCACTTCATTTCTATTATGGGTCATGCCTTTCTAATAGAGGCAGTATGCACACAGGGATAAGATTGTGGGTTTGAATCCCAACTCTTACCACTTACTAGCTCTGTAATTTGGGGCAGATTGTGTAAGTCATCTATATATACTTCAGTTCTTCATTTTAATATAAGAATCATAATGGTGTATACTTTCATTGATGTGAGGATTAAATGAGCTGATAATTGTAAAATGCTTAAAATGGTGCCTGACACATAGTAAGTAAGCACTTAATAAATATGGGCTATTATTATTGTTAATACGTATCTTTATGAATCTAGAGGCTAACTTCTGTAACTGTTTCCCTAGGATAAATATTCCGGATGGGATTACTGCATTAAAGGATGAAGACATCTTTACGTCCCTTTTGCTATCTGTGGTCATTGCTTTTCAAAGGGTGAAATGAGCTTGTGCTGTCTAATTTATAAATGCAACCTATTTATCAGTGTGTGTGTGTGTGTGTGTGTGTGTGTGACATAATTACATTGCATACACACACACATAAATACACAGGTACATAGTTGGTATGCATATATATGTATGCATGTCAGCATGGTTTAGGTTGTAAGCTTGTACAAGACTGTGATATTGTTAAATTTTTTACATTTAATATTACAGTTAGTACCTCGTCAATACTGTCTCCAGGTAGATGTTGATGAATGATAGTATGTTATTTCTGAAAGATCATGTCAAAGAAATATTCTAAGTCTTGTATGTCTTTTTGTCCTTTTGATAGATTGAAGCCATGGCCATTCTTTTTGCTGTTGTTGCCAGGGGAACCACGATCCTTGCCAAACATGCTTGGTGTGGAGGAAACTTCCTGGAGGTGACAGAGCAGATTCTGGCTAAGATCCCTTCTGAAAATAACAAACTAACGTACTCACACGGCAAGTGAGTTCTGCTCTGCGTGGGTAGAGGGTGAAGGAAGTGAATTCTAGTATTATAATCAGGACAGTGGAAAGCTATGAAACAAAATTCTTGGTAGATAATTTGAATAAGCTGACAGGACAGTAACCTCTACTGTTGTCGAAAATGTCTAGTTGTATCAGTTAGAAATTTAACTTGTGATTATTTTATTCTAGCACTGAAGTGATGTTACTACTATTTTAAAAAAGATAATGGAAATGCTAGAAGTAAAAATGACTTGCGCTCTAGGTTATGTGAAAGTTGATATAGATATAGAGTATTCTTGTCTTCATTCTTTTAGTAAATATTTACTGAGCAGTTGACTACTGCCACGCACTTTGCCTCGTGGTGGGGCTACACCAAGACATTATGTAGCAGTTGCCCTCATAGGGGTTGTAGTTTAATGAAGGAGGCAGTAAAACCCATGGACAGTTGTAGTAGAGGGTGCCATAGTGGTGAAGGAGGGTGGCATTCCGGGTAGAAGGAGCAGCTTGTAGGGAAGGATGGAGGCGTGAGATCGGGGGCATGGTTAGGGAGCTGCGGGTGGCTTTCTGTGACCTGTGCCCAGCGTGGTGGAAATAGAGGACGGGTAGAAGAGAAGCCATGTAGGGCCTTACAGGCCATGTAACCCATTGGACTTGACGCTGTGGGCAGTGGGTGGGCGCCGAAGGTTTTCAGCTGGGGTTGACATGATCAGCTTTTGCTTTAGAAAGATCACGTTGGCAGCTGCTTAGACAATGGATTGGAGAGAGCATAGATGGAAAATCTTAGTAATCAGATAACAAGTCCTTCAACCTACCACATCAGCACTAAAAACAGTTTTGTTACTTAAGCCATCCTAAGTTTCTTAGTTCTTATCTCAGAAGGAGGTCCTTCCTGCTTTCCAGGGCTAAGTCCTTGTATAGTGTAGGATCTAGCCTAAGCCACTATAGGAGAGTGACCCCTAAGTACACTGTTGACTTAAATGAGATAGCCCAGAGGCGAGTGTTTTCGGGCTGGTGGGGTGACTCGGCCATGTTTACTTAGTGCTTTCCAACTCTGCCCATGGCAGCCCCTTCAGTTCGTGTTGCTTCCCTGTGGTCGCCCAGAGGTGGCCTCACATGTTACTGTTCAGAAGCTTCTGCTCCCACTTGATTGTTTGCTGTGTAGTTATGTAGCTAATCTAGGAAGGGAGGCTAGGATTTGTTATTTCTATCTGTGCGGCCATATGCTCAGCTAAAATCTGGAAGAAGTTGCAGGATGTCAGGAGACAACTTACCATATTCCAGTCTCCTTTTCCCGGCCACCCAAATATCTGGGCGCACACTTCTTCCCCAACATAGAACACGCCACCTCCCTGCAGGAGGTGGCCTCAAAGACTCATCTGGTCATTGTCCTGAGAGTCTGGGTGACTCTCAGCTTCAAGTCCCGAGAGTCTGGGTGACACAGTCCTCTCTGTCAGGTGCAGGAATGGCTCCTGTGACCCGCTGACCATAAACTAAACCAGAAGCCCTATGTTCCTCTGCTCCCCCAGCCCCACCCAGTGGACAAAGGTGAAATAGGCACAGCAGCACTGCAGTGGAAGGTGCAAACTCCAACTTAAGGGAGGAACGAGAAACACGTCGAGGCTGCTGCGGCCCAGCAATGTGAAAATCAGTGCTTCACCGCCATTTCACAGACTTCCTGCTGTGACCCCGGCGTGGTTAGGGCCCTGCTTTGTGAGCGGATCCCTTGTCTTTCTTCCGCGACTCCTGGCTTTGCTCTCCAGGAGGCTCCTCCTGCTCCATTATCCTCTCTGGCCACATTCACAGTGGGTATTAGAGAGTTGTCAGGTATGGGAACTGGACAGTCTTGTGGCCTGCTGCTTGCTGGTGTGGCTTACAGGCCTACAGGTTGCCTTAGGGGTTAAATACTCCCAGCTTCTTGTCAGTATGGCTTTCTGGTTTCTTCAGAAACGTATCAGGCTTACTATCTGTGTTTCTAGTCAGCTCCCAGGAAAATGCCCAGGGAAAGCACGTGCAGTCCTTTTGAGGCGAGGCCAGGAAGTAGGGCACATACCTTCCACTCACATTTTATCAGCTACAGCATAGTCACATAGCCATAGCTACCTCCAGGGGAAGCCAGAATGTGGAATCCAAGGAAAATGCGGTCTTAGCACAAGAAGGCTATGCACTCTGTCTGCTGTGCCTCTCCACCTGCGTCCTGATCCCGTCCAGCCCAGTATCCTCAGGAGCGAGGCTCCATCACCGAGTTGGTTCTTCCTTTTAACCTTCTGCCTCGATCTCTCCTATAATCATGTTCCATCACCCCATTCAAAAGTATCTGTTATTACTGTACACCAAAGGAAAGACGTCCATTTTACTATAAGACAATCATTTCTGCCCTGGAATCTGATCTTCCGCTGAGCCTGGAATTTCGGAATCATTTCTGACTTGTCACCAAACCCTTGCTTCAGTCCATTCCCTCTTCTGTCCCCACTTGTCACAGTATTAGTTTGGGCCTTTATTGTTTCTCATTTCTAATAGCCTCCTCCTAACTGGTGTTTCTGCTCCCTCCTTAAATCTAGTTTTCACATTTCTATGATTACACTTCCTTGCTTAAAACCCAGTGCTTTCAGAATAAAGCCCGCATTTGGCCTTTGCAGTTTGGTCCCTTCCTGACCTTTCTACCTTATCTTTGTAGGACTCCTTGCCATTCCCTGACCAAGGAGTATTATTTCAAGCTTTAGTATATTTGTTTCAGGCTTTTGCATCTTAGAATATCCTTCCCCTCGTAGGCTCCCTGGTAAATTTTTGCTCATTTTACAGGTCTCGAATGAAATACTTTCTTAATTCTTTAATCCTCATTCTTTAATCCTTCTAAAAGGGCACTTCTGTTCCTGTCCCCTCCTTCAGCAGGTACTCCTGGCCCTCGGGCTAAAGTTTCTTAACATGAGTTGGAAGATTCTTCAAGATCTGACCCGCTCCCTAATCTGGCCTTATCTGTCACTATTTCAGCCTTCAGTTTGTTCTCAACCATACTTAGCCATTTGCATTTCAATGTTGCTGCTTTGTGTCTTCCTAGCCTTTGCAATGGTATTACCTTTTACTGGAATATGTTTGTCTTACTTTTAAAAAATCTGACTCTGTCTTCTTGAGCTTGGGTGTTTCCTCTCCTAGAAACCCCTCACTCCAAAACTGGGCCAGGTGCCTCCTTTTTGTGTGTCTCCATAGAATCCTGGGTGTATTCATATTGTAGCCCTTACCACACTGTATTATAATTGCAATCTTTATTTTTTGTCTCTGTCCCCTGAATGTAGGCTCCTTGATGGCAGGGACCATCCCTTGTTACCTTTTGTTGTCTTTGCACCAAGTTACTCCCAAGTGTGGTTTAGGAGAAATAAATTTTGTCGGGAAAAGGATTTCCATTTTGGACACATTGTATTTAAGTTGTCTGTGGCACATCCAGATGGGTATGTGTAGTAGACAGCAGCATATGTGGGCCTGGAGCTCAGGAGATAGGTCAGATGTAGATTTAGGAATCATCATCATCATTGTGGGAGCTGAAAATGAACATCAGCCACAAAACATGAGAGTGGATGCTGCCCTCCAGGGAGCGTGTGCAAGCAAAGCAGAGGGCTGAGGACGCTGGCAAGCATTAACAGAGAAGGACAGAGACTAGCACTTAGAGCAGGCGAGCCCGGTGTCAAGTGGTATACTGGAGGGAAGCACTGCCCAGAAGAAGGAAGTGGGCAGTACTATCCAGTGTTTCCAACGGAGCCACTGGAGGTGGCCATGTGGAAATCGTTGGTGAAATGGATGAGAACTTTTAGAGTAGGGGGGGAAGACAGTTTGCCCGAGCTCCCACACCTCCTTGTACTTCTGTCAAGCCTGCATGTGCACATTAATACTATAATTCAGCAGGTGCTCCTGTCTGTCCACTGGCCCAAGGTGGAAATGTGGGAGGCAGAGTTGAGCTATCCCCGTGCCTCACCCCCGACAGCCAGTCATCAAGTTCTGTCCTCCTGTGTCCTCTCTGTCACCTCTTCACTGCCCACAGGACTTGAGTTTATTTCCCCAATGGTTTCATACCTGCTCTGCTGCAGGGGAGTCTCCTGTCTGGCCCTCCCTCCTTTCAGTCAGCTCCCCACGCCCTACCCGAAGCATCCTTTCCTATTGGAAATCTGATCCCACTCTCCCCTGCCTAAAGGCCTCGGGTGCCCGTTCACTGTTCCTAGGATGATGCACTGGGAGGTTTGAAAGTCCTGCATAACCTGGCGTTGGCCCGCTTCTCCAGCCTCGCGTGTGCAGTCACTTTATTGTTCTTACAGTCTGTCCCCTGGTCATGTGACCAGCTTTTACTGTCCTGAACCCGTTACGTGCTCCAGGCTGTGGTGCTGGTTGGTGTCGCTCCGGCTCACTCCTCCCCTTGCCATCTCTTGCTTAGCCTTCAGGTCTCACCTTAGACATGGCTTTCCTGTTATCCTTCACCTAACTGTGAGGAACCTCCTGTGTTCCCAGAGCGCCATGTACTGCCCTCAGCCCCCTCACCCTGCATACCATGCTTCCCTGATGATTTTGCTCATTTGTATCCTCAGCACCCAGGCAGCTACTGACTCAAAGCAGATACCGAACAAATATTACGGTTGAGTATTTGGTGGAAAAAAGGTGTTTGCTTTGAGATCTGAGGAGAGGGCAAGGAAGAATGTACGGCTCATGGAGGGTTAATTTAACTGCGTCCCTCCTAAGGTTTCCTCTCATGTTCAGGCCTTAAGAGTCCAATTGTGCTTTTATCACTGTCGTCTTAATGGGCACTATGCATACTGCTGCTTTGTGTAGCGAGGGTAGAGACCTTTGAATTTCTCATTTGTTCCTATCAGTTTGGCTTGAGAGAAACATGTATGCATAGGGGAGGGCGAAGAGGAAGAACAGACAGACAGCATCTGTAATTAGCGTTACCGAAGTTGCTGATACACAGAAGATAGGAGTGAAAGAGATACGGCTCAGAACCACAGTAATTTTTATATATTTTATTCTACAGTTACTTGTTTCATTACATCTGCCAAGACAGGATTATATACCTTTGTATCACCGATGATGTAAGTAACTTGGACATGCTGCTGTTCAACTGTGTGTACTATAAATGGAGTCAGTTCTTAATCAGCTCTATCTGTTGTGGGTAAAGGTGACATGGATATAACTGTTCCTAGCTGGAAATGTTTTCTATACTTTGCATTTATCATATAGAGCAGCTGAAGACAAGAAAAGTTGATACCTGGGCATATGCCCATCATCTCAGTTTTAATAGAGTTTCGCTTAGCCTCTTGTAACTTCTGCATTGATCCTGTTTAGTAGTGAGAATTGGTGTTCAGAATTATGACCCTTTGGTATCACATCCTCTCAAAGTTTATTGATCTGAAATACTAAAGTATTTCATTCCTCCAATCAATAGCTAGTGATTTTTTTAATGTGTATGAAGTTTATGCAAACAAAATCACAGTACATTATGATCAGCTTCGTAAACCCATAGTTCACATTGGTAGGTTGGCATTTGAGTATTTATAGGTTCTAGACTCAAGATGCTTAATAACTTAGAATGTCATCAAGGTGCTTTCTCTCCTCTGCTGTCCTTAGTGTCAGCCTCTTCCTGGACACATTTCCCTTCTGGTTGCATGGAGCCACATGCTTATTTACTCGTGTGCAGAGAAGAGGAACTATGTCTTGTTGTAGGAATGAGGAAACTTTTCCCAGAAGCGCGCCCTCCCCTCCCCCTGTTTTCAAAGTGGACTTCCTTTTATGTGTTATTGACTAGGGCTAAGTTACATACTTATTTCTAAATTGATCACTGACAAGAGGCATGGAATTGGTATGCTTGCCATAGGTCAGGGTTCTTAACCTTTACTGTGTCACAGACCCCTTTGACACTCACAGGCCCCTCCCACAGTGTTTTTAAATATAAAGTAAAGTACATGACTCTAAACGAAACCAAGTATATTGCAAGGCTACAATTATATTTAAATATATATTTTATATATATTAAAGTATTTTAAAAATTGATACAGTGATGTCTATGCTCCTTTATGAATTCATTAAATAACAAGATTTAGTCATGAGTCTAATAATAATAATTTTAAGTGGTGATGAGTATAAATGAGACCTCAAGATGAAATAAGATTTCTATTGGTGACAGAGTCACAGCTACCGGCTAATGCTACTATGGTGTGTTCTGTTCACAATTGAAATATAACTTAAAGATTAGTGAAAATAACAATGTAGTCTTTTTCCTATCCAAGTACATGGGCCCCTTGATTTTGGACCATAGACCCCTGTATAAGTAGCCTTGGCTGAGACTGAACACCTGGGGTGAAGTGGAAATGAATGTCAACCACAGTGATCATCACAGCGATTTTTATTCTTGGTTTCACAGCATTTTCTAAAATTACTTTTAAAAAAGCCAGCTATATCTGAAATGACTAATGGGAATGGGCTTGGAGTAGATGAGAAATATCACTAAATTTGGGACAGAGTTGAGTCTTGTATTTCTTAAGCTATAATTGTGTGTGTGTGTGTGTGTGTGTGTGTGTGTGTGTGTATGTGTGTTTGAATACATAAACACTTTTTGAGTAACTGGGCCTAGACTTGATCTTTTCAAATATATCACCACTGTTGAAATAAATCAATTCAGAGTTTATGTCAATAGTGTTATCTTTGTATGAAAGACTGCTGTTGTTAAGGATTCATTAAACATCTTGAGCTAGGCCGTCTAATAGATCCTGTGAAAGATACGGAGGAAGTAAAACCCAAAGCCTGCTCTCAAGAAGCTAACCTTGGATCTGTTATCTTCAGTGAGCAGTAATCAAACATATTTGGACTGGACTCTCAGCTCTTATTTACTAGTTGTCTGACCTTTGGCAAGTTAGTTCCCTTTGCAGAACCTTTGTTTCCTTATCTGTAAAGTGAGGTCAGTGCTAGTTCCTGCTCATGGAATCATTGCTCAGTAAATGTTAGCTGTTCTTACGGTTGTTGTTAATCATCCATCTCATTCTTTGTTTACTTAATAATGTGCACTCTGTGTTGATATCTCGTCAGGATTTTGAACGTTCCCGAGCCTTTAATTTTCTGAATGAGATAAAGAAGAGGTTCCAGACTACATATGGCTCAAGAGCACAGACAGCACTCCCATATGCCATGAATAGCGAGTTCTCAAGTGTCTTGGCTGCACAGCTGGTAAGATCTTCCTCAGGATATAGTGTTTTCAACCATATCTTCTTTATTACCTCAAAGCACCACGAATATAGGGGGCCCTGACCTGTGGTATTTTCCCTGTTTTATTATTATATGCCAACGTAGTAAAGCTTCCCTCATCAAAAAATGGAAAGGGGCCATTTGGGGGCACAGCTAAGAACTGGTGACATTCTCTATTAATAGTGGTCAGTATCTCAGGACTGGGAAGGACGTTTGGGATCATCTAGTTAAGCTGCCCATCTAAAGCACGGATCCACTCCATGTGCCACGTGGCCTGTTGACCTAACCATTGGTCTTCTACCATCCCGTGAGGCGAATTCCATGTTTGAACTGCTCAAATGAGTCATTTGAAAGTCTGTTTATCTGTATGAATACCTAATTGTCAGCTCAGTGAAGTTTTACATATGTATACACCTGTGAAATAACACCCTTTCCAAGACAGAAAACATCTCCATGACTGTAAAAGTTCCCTCCCTAACACTCTGCCTCAGGCAACGACTGCTTTATTTGCTGTCACTATAAATTAGTTTTGTCTTTTCTAGAATTTCCTATAAATGGAATCATACATTATACACTCTTTTGGGCCTTGCTGGTTTCACTTAGTGTAAGGCTTTTGGTGTTCATCCATGTTGTGTAAATCAGTAGGACCCTTTTCTTGCCTAGCAGTATTGTATGCATATAGCACAATTTCTTTATCCATTCACCCGTTGCTGGATATTTGAGTTGCTTCCAGTTTCCCCTATCGTGAATAAAGCTGTTATGACCATCCATATACAAGTCTTTGTGCGGACGTATGTTTTCATTTCTCTTTGGTAAATACCTAGGAATGGAATTGCTAGGTCAGATGATGAGTATTATTTAATTTTATAATAAATCATCAAACTTTTTCCAAAGTAATTGTACCACTTACATTCCCACCAGCAGTTCCATGTTTCTGCATCCTTGCCAATACTTGTTATGGTCTGCCTTTTAATTTTAGTCATCCTAGTGGGTGTGCAGTGATATCTCATTGTGGTTTTAATTTGCATTTCCCGGATGACTAATGATGTTGAGACCTTTAGAAATGCTTACCTTTTATCCATGCAACTTTTTGAGAGCAAAGACATTAAGTTCTATCTCTGACTGTATTGTGAATGAGAAAAAAATACTTATTTTAATTGCATACTTTCTTTTTCACTTCTCCTGTGAGTGTTCTTTTTTACTCTAGATTTTTTGAGTATTATACTTAGAAATATGCATTCCTCTGGAGATGAAGTTCCTTACCTAGTTATAAATCTTTATTATTCAGTAAGTTGGTTTGTTTTATGCTTCCCACTAGGAAGCATTCATATACATGAAACTATGTAAAACATCACCAACAAAAAAATGTACCAGCGCACAAAGTAAATAGGGTCAGCTGACAGCCAGACTTTCAACTTACCCAGCTTGTCATTAGCTCCAGTTCTGTGTGTGACCCTCTGAATAACTCCATGCCCATTTCCTCATCTATGAATGGCGATAATAGTAACATCTTCATCATAGAGGTTTTGGGTGGATTAAATAATATCCCCTACTTGAAGCATTCGGCACAGTGAAGTGACTGGAATATCCTTTATTAATTACTCCATGATTATTAGCTGTGGATAATAATTAAAAAATATATGCTATCATCAGTGTCTTACATTTGTAGATCCTATAAGAAGCCAGTGAAAATAGGATGCATATCCGATCCCAACAGAGACAAGAGCAGGTGCTGAGAAGCTGGCCATCCCCTACCTCATCATGGTCAAGAAGTAGGGAACAATTTAGGGTGCCCTTTCTCTGTCCTGTTCCCCCTGCCCCAGCTCCAGTCATCTTCTCTTCTTTCTTGCTTGTCTGAGCACAGACTATATTACCCCCTACTTCTGCTCTAAGAGTCTAAGATGTATATTTGATATGTTGTAATACACTTAGCTTTATTTAATTTAAAATAAGGTGGTATTTTTGCACATTTCATATAGCAGCATTTTTTTTTGTGCTGCCTGTATTTTTTGCTAGGTCTGGTAACAATTTTTGAATGAAGTGACATATATCTTGTGTATCAATAGAGACATAATTTTATAGCATTTCTCAATGTCATGCCTCTTCTTTTTGTTTTCCTATTTTAAATAATGTGTAGATACTGTAAGTTAAATATTATTGTCTTACAGAAGCATCACTCTGAGAATAAGGGCCTAGACAAAGTGACGGAGACTCAAGCCCAAGTGGATGAACTGAAAGGAATCATGGTCAGAAACATAGGTATGTTTCATGGCATAGTCCATACACACGTGGGCAAAAATGGTAATAGTGTACGTGATGGGGTCAAATTATTCTAGAGAGGCTGAAACAGAACTTCCTTACTCTTACTACTGGAAGCTAATTGTCAGCTGAGCTGTGGCGATGACATATCTGGGAGATGGTCTACTGTATGAGTAGTTTCTTTTCAGTACTTATGGCTGTTCTTCATTCTAAATTTGTTATTGTACTTAGCAAAACTAATTTCTGACGCCCTGACAACAGTTCAGCAACTTAGCATAATTCAGTTTTGGCTGGAGATACTCAGATGGCTGGTATTATCACTAGATACTTAAAATGTAACTATTTGACGTCCTTAGAAAGTTTGTAGCTCTTGATTGAGAGAAAGAAAGAATTGGACCAAAAAACTGTTATGTCCTTCCAGAGTACAAACTGTGATATAAATTTTGTCAGCCTGTGTTTTGTCAAGAACCTATTTAGCACATTAAAATAATCCAGAGAAATGCATCTATAATAGTTTATTTTTAATTGATTATTCAATGGTATTTCGATTTAGGATGATACTAGTTTTTTTCAAAGCACTGGTTCTCACAGTGCAGTTCCAGGGCCAGCAGCAGCAGCAGCCTCTCCTGGCATCCTGTTAGAAATGCAGATTTTCAGGCCCCATCTCAGACCTACCGAATCAGAAACTCTGGGAGTGGGACCCAGCAATCTTTGTTTCCACAAGCCTTCTGGAGAATTCCAGCGCATACTCAACTTTGGGAAGCACTCTTTTAAATATATCTTCTAAGGGAAATACATATCTCACAGATGGTAACTTTCATAAAATTCAACAAAAGTGATTACATAGTTGCTTTATAAGGTATTTAATTGATACATTATCAAATTTCATAAATGTCCATTTACTTACAACCTTGGATTTCGTATTTGATTTATTTTTATATTTATTATTAGAACAGTTACACATTACGAAAGGACATTTTTAGAAATGTACTCGTGGTCTCACCATCCTAAAGACTCATTTCTATTTTCTTTCCTTTCCATTTTTATCCACATGTATACATAGTTGTGGTCATGGTTTAGATTCAGTTTTGTGGAGGCAGACATGCCTGAGATTGAGTCCTGATTTCATTTCCTGCTTGCTGTTAGCCCTTGACCAATCCTCTAACCTCTGTGAGCTTTCTTTCCTAATGTGCAAGAGGGAGGTAATGGAACCTGAGGTTATCAGGATAAAGGAGGTAATGTAGGTTAAAGCACTTTGTGCCGTGCCTGGCACATAGTAAGAGCTGAATGCTTTTTAGCTATTGTTAGTCTCCTTTATGCTCGTGTAGTATTTCACTGAGTTATATCATAGGTTACCCATCGTATCCTTATTTTGGACACTGGTTCTTTAGAGCAGTGGCACCCAGAGTGCTGTTTTACACCCAGAGAAGGAAGGAGCTTGCTTCAGAATGTAAGTCAGCGCTGTGCTTCCTTCATTGAGAACGTCTTACCTTGAAAATTCCGGCTGGGCTGAACAGTGTGCTTAGGGATGTAGGTGAGGCAGTATCAAGCACTCTTAGGAGCGCTCCTCCTGATTTAGAGGATCATGTTCCTATAACAGTTCTGATATAAATGTTTTCGTGCCTATTATGTCTTTTCTTATTTCCTTAAGATCCATTTCCAGGAATGAGGTTAATAATCAAAAGGCAGAAACATTTTTGTGGTTCTTGATAGGTATGTCTCTTGGCTATTTCAAGTGATTTCCTTTTACTGATTTTAGTTTTAATTATACGTCTAAGTGCAGACAAGAGAACCTATTGAAAAAACTACTGATATTTATTTTTCCCCTTTTTTGGTCACCAGATGTATTTATTTTGCCTGAAAGTGGAAGCAGCTAACTACTACAATATTATTTATTGCAGATGCATAATGTTTCCAGAAAATGAACCTTTTTCAACTCCTTTTAAACGACTTATTTAGTTTTAGAATTGTTGCCTTACAGCCAATCCCACGACCACCCCCTCTGCATTAGCCTCATACCCTGTAGTCGAGAGAGTGTCTCGGAAAACTGAGGCCGGATGGAATGATATCTGTAAAGCTCTCTCGGGGGGCGTCTTGGAAAACTGAGACCTGATGGAATGATATCAGTTGTCTCCCCTGGGAGGACATGTGACAGAGTGTCCTGGGACTGTGCAGTGATGTACAAAGACATAACATTTGTTGGAGTACAAAGGGGTCCGGTAATGGGAACAAGCCTTAAGGCACCCAAGTATACACGGTTAATGATTCACCGTTCTGCAGTTTTGCTTCTTTTGAAGATTCTCAATAAAAGCCTTGCATTGACCCGATTCGGGGCTCAGTCTTTCTTAGGCTGAGTCCCTTGGTCTTACTCTCAAATCTGACTTCTGTCTCTTGATCTTATTCAATCTGCGCCGCCCCTCTCGTGTCCCATTTGCCCTTTCCACGCAGGACGTGACATAGAATAACAGAAATAGATTAAAAATGTAATAAAAAACCATGTCTAACCATCTCCCTTTGATTTGATTTTTTTAGCAGTGTTATTGAGATACAACTCATTTATCATACAATTCACCCATTTAAAGTATATAGTCCAGTGGCTTTTACTATAACCACAGTTGTGCAACCATCACCACAATCAATTTTAGAACATTTTCATCACCCCCAAAAGAAATCCTGTACCCACTTCCACTTACTCCTCTTTTCCCCTCACCTCCAGACCTAAGCAACAATTATCCTCCTTTTGTCTCTATAGATTTGCCTGTTATGGACATTTCATATAAATGGAAGCATATACTATGTGGCCTTTTGTATCTTGGCTTCGTACACTCAGCATAATGATTTTGAGGTCCATGTTGTAGCGTATATGAGTACTTCCATTTCTTGTTATGGCCAAATAATATTCCACTGTATTGATGCGTTTTATTTACCATCTATTAGTTGATGGACATTTAGTGGTTTCTTCTTTTTGGTTATGGATAATGTTTCTGTGAACATCAGTGTATGAGTTTTTGTGTAAGCATGTTTTCAGTTCTCTTGGGTATAAACTTAGGAATAGAATTGCTGAGTCACGTGGGAATTCCATGTTAAACATGATGAGTTAGGCCAGACTTACCTCAAGTGGCTGCACCATTGTGCAATCCCTGTAGCAATGTATGAGGAGTCCAGTTTCTCCACATCCTTGCCAAAATGTGTTATGTGTCTTTCTTCTTATAGGCAACTTAGTATGTGGAAACCAGTATCTTACTGTGGTTTTGATTTGCATTTGCCTGATGACAAATGATGCTGAGCATCTTTTCATGAGCTTATAGGCCATTTATATATCTTTGGAGGAATGTCTGTTCAAAACCCGTTGTCATTTTTTAAGTGGGTTGTCTTTTTATTGTTGAGCTGTAAGAGTTCTTTGTATACTCTGGATACTACACTATTATGAGACATACGATTTGTAAATATTTTCTCCCATTCCATGTGTCGTCTTTTCACGTTTTTGATAGTGAACTTTGAAGCACAAAAGTTTTTAATTTTGATGAAGTCCAATTTATTTTTTTCTTTTGTTGCTTGTCCTTTAGATGTCATATTTAAGAGACCACTGCTTAAACCAAGGTCACAAAGATTTACTCTTTTGTTTTCTTCTAAGAGTCTTGTAGTTTTAGCTCTGAACTTTTGGTCTATGATCTATTCTGAGTTAATGGCTATGTACAAAATAAGGAAGGGGTCCAACTTAATTCTCAAGTGTGTATATCCAGTTGTCCCAACACCATTTGTTGAAGAGATATTTCTTTTCCTGCTGAATGGTGTTAACACTCTTATCAAAAATCAGTTATCCATAGATGTGTGGGTTTATCTGGACTCTCAGTTCTGTGCCATTTAATCTGTATGTCTGTCCTTGGTACCAGTACTGAACTGGCATGATTATTGTAGATTTGTAGTAATATTTAAAGTCAAGAAGTATGAGTCTTCCAACTTTGCTCTTCTTTTTTAGGATTGCTTTGGCTGTTCTGAGTACCTGTCATTTCCATAAGAATTTTAAAGTGAGCTTGTCAGTTTCTGCAGACAAAGTAACTGGGATTTTGACAGGGATCACGTTGAATCTGTAGATCAGTTTGAGGAGTATTGCCCATTTGACACTATTAAACTTCTGATCCATGAACATGAAATGACTTTTCATTTATTTAGCTCTTCTTTAAGTTTTCTTCAACAATATTCTGGAGTTTTCGGTGTACAAGTCTTACGTGACAAGGACTTTATGCTTGACCAAATATTAGATAGGCTCCTCTGAGCCCTCTGTTTGACTAGGCCTCATCCTTGGACTCTGTCCTCTGCCTGCCTAAGCCAGTCTTAGCAAAGAATCCTGCTAAGTCAGTCCCCTACTTCTGATATCTTATCACACTTGATAGCTGATCAAGTTCCTAATCCCCTACCTTTGATGTACAAATCTTTGTCCTGCCTTTATTTAGGGACATCCTTTTAGGTCAGTTTAGCAAGGTTGCCCTGCCCTTGTTTTCTTCTCTTAGTAATTTTCCATCCACTGGCAACCCCCTCACTCTGCTCCTTACCTATAAACCCCCACTTGTCCTTTTTTAAAATTATTGAAATAGAATTTACATAAAATATCCTGTGAGTTGAAGGTGTATAATGTGTTGATTTGATACATTTATATACTGCGATATGATTACCACCTTTGCTTTAGCTGACATCTATCACATCACATAAATGATTCTTCTGTGGTGAGAACACTTAAGATCTAGTCCCTTAGCAGCTTTGAAGTTTATAATACTGTACTCTTGGCTGTCATCACTGCTGGCGTTAGATCTCCAGAACACATACATCTTCTGCTTGCAAGGCTGTTCCCTTTAACATTACCCTCTCCCCCCCCCACAGCTTATTAATCTTATAACTGAGGGTTTTTTTACCAGCATCTCCTCCCCCCCCCCCCCAGTTTCTCCCTTAGTACCACCATTCCACTCTGTTTCTATGAGTTCAGCAATTGTAGATTCCATATA